AGACTAAATGAACCCAAGGACCATTATGAACGCCAAATGTGGAGGTCTTGATACTCACCCCAGAAGGCTTAGGATGGGATCATCCCAGGCATGATGCATCTACCAGCCCTTCTACCCAGGAAAAAATTAGGAAAAAGAAAGGACACGGTGGCCAGAATCTCAGCTCTTACCCTGTCTGACATTCCATAGAATGGTCTACCTTCTAGCTCTGAGATCTGCTAGCTGTCCTTGGAATTGACCCTTTTTAACTAACACGTCTCCTTTTTGTGGGGGGGTGGGGGGAAAATAGGAACAATGAGCAGAGATGCAGATCTTTATGCAACAGAGATTGCCAAGTAGCTCTTGAAGCCAGATCTGTCAGTTATCTAGAATCGGCCTTCTTATTGTTCACAAGTGTTAGGGGACGCTTACTTGCTTAGTGACCTGCAGTGGCAACAGAATTCCCCTTATCCTCCTTCACATGCATCCTACATACCCACTAGTTTACCTTCTGTTCATCCTGAAACGAGGGGAATGACAGCCTCATCTACCTTAGAAAGCCCGGCAGACGTTGTATTTCAAATCATATGGCCTAAAAGCTCACTCTGCTTTCTAAGGTATCTGATTTATAAGGTATCTTGTACTATGTGTGACTGCCTTACTAATTTCTGATTATTACGGAGGGGAGATAATTCAATTGAGAGTTTAGGAATGTGTGTTTTTCATGTGTTTTTTGTGTTTTGAGTTCTAACTAGAAGTTCAAAGTCACCCTATTGTGAGTTGAATTTTTATTCTAAGTAAATGTTTAAATAAAGGACTGGGGCTGGGTATAGTGGCCCTGCAGATGGCTGATGAACCATTCTAGGAGACATGGATATAGACAGTGCTTGGTCTGTGAAGAGTGGACTGATTTGCCTAAATGATCCTATTGTATGTTATAATTATAAAGAACATTTTTACTCAGTGAATTTGCCCTGCGTCTTGGAAGATGTTTCTGGAACAGCTTGTGCCACATGAAGAAATAAGGGATGTGAAACATAGCCTTCTAAAGGATTCAGAGTGAAAGATGAGATTTGTGCTAGGATCTTAGTTTGTCTCTATACCTGCTTTTAAGAGACTATCATTAGATTAATTTTTGCTAAGCCTTTCTAGCGTGGGTGATTTGGGGAAGGTGATGATTCAGCAAAGGATGAATAAGGAACCAAATGGTCTGTATGAGCCTTCCAGTGTGAGATCTTGTGATGCTGTATTTTACAGGAAAGCAGTCTTGGGATTCTTTACCCATACCTTAAATATTATCTCTGCTGCAGCTCAATGGTTTATTTACTTCTTCTAATGATCTTTGTTTAACTTACTCCTATTCAAGTTTTGCAAGAAAGCAGTTAGTCTGAACAAACAACAAGATGTAATAGCTGTCCTTAGCATTTAGGGATTCTGTTCTATATAGCTGGCCAGAAAAGAGACAGGAAGACTTGTGGAGAGAGGAGAACATCATTCAGAGAACTAAAGATGGTCTTTCCTCTTCTGAGGCTGTGAAGTTTCCAGTTGAACATGTTAGACTACAGTCCCTCAACATCATTTCAATTGTGGTGACTAAACATACCAGATTATAAAGTCAGCAATCAAAGTAGAGGAAAGAACGGTAACTTGACCTGGTTTGGTAGATTAGGAAATTATTAGCTCTAGAGTAACTAGAATGAGGAAAACAGCATTTGAGACATGATGGTATGAGTGAGTGGCCAGCTACAGAAGGACATTCAGTCCTCCAACCCGGTAGCTAAAAGAGCAGCGGTTGGGAAGCCGAGGCTGCAGATGTGTGTCTGCCACTGACTGGCTGTACAATCTAGGACAAAGCATTTCTCATTTCTGGAGCTTGGGTTTTCCACTGACAAAGCACGGTTGTTGTTTTTCAAAGTATTTGTGTAGAGCCTCCTATGTTGGAGGCATGAGGCAAGTGTTTCCTGACACTCTTATTTGGTTCTCTAAAGTGTTTTGCTCTAGAAGCCTCTCAAAGGACAGAAAAAAGCAATCTGCAGTTGCCTGCTCTTTTCTCTCCTCACTGAATGGTGTAGCAGCTCCCCCCACTCCCCGTGTTGTTTTGAAAAAAAAAAAAAAAAAACTTCTTCAAGGACTGACTTTTAGCCCGAAGAAAAAGCATTTCAGATTATATTTGGCTTTTACATTTTTTATTCATCTGAGTACCTCGTACTACTGTAAATTCTCAGGGGACCTGTTTTGTTTTTTTTTTGTTTTTTTTGTTTTTTTTTGTTTTTTTTTTTTTGGTTTTTCCCCCCGGTTTTTTTTAAAAAAAAAAAAAAAAACCTTCTTCAAGGACTGATGTTTAGACTGCAGAAAAGGCATTTCAGAAAGGACTCAATAATTTTCTTTCAGCCTTTTTAGAGCTATTTTGGGAACAGGTGAAGAGAAAGTGATTATAAAAACTGAAAAGACCAAGGGAATATGTGCCCTTGGCATAAAGCCAAATGAGCTACAGGAAATGATGAAACGAATGTAATGCTTTGAGTTCTAGAGCGCAAAGGAAATAGGTATGGGGTTCAAGTGACTTCTCAATCTGGAGTTTAAGAGCAGTACTTACTATAAATACACATCTATCTATAGTGGTTTGGGTGGGCAGTTCAAGGAGACACTGAAGGGCTTTTAAGCAAGCTCTAAAAGATCCTCCAGCCTAGCTTTCAGAGATAGAATGGCTTCTTTTGAGTATAGATAAGGGGTAAGAATTTAGCATCACTTTCATATGAAAAAGAATACATGGTAGGAATTTGATTAGGTAAAGTACAAATGCTATTTCAACAAAGATTAGGTCAACAGGTGAGTCGTTATATAGACAATTTTGATATTGGATCTTTTTAGAAATTTGTGTTTATTATTTTTATTTTATGTGCATGAATGTTTCGCCTGTGTGTATAGAAGTGCACCTCTGCATGTGATGCCCATGAAGCCAGAAGAGGGTGTCAAGTCTCTTGTAACTGGAGTGACAGATGGTTGTTAGCCACCCTGTGGGTTCTGGGAACCCAACCTGGGTCCTCTGCAAAAGTAGCCCATTCTGTTAACTACTTGGCCGTTTCTCCAGCCTCATGGTTCTTTTAATCTGTTTTCTACAATGTGTAGTCAGAGTAAAGCCTTCACTGGTCTAGAGTTAGGGAGCTGGTTTGATCTTGATGTTACCAACTTAGTATCATTTTTAAATTGATGAAAACTATCTGTTCTACCAGTCTCCTAAGGTTGTGAGACTTAAATGAGTCCATTCTCATTACTTACTGAAATATTTTAGACTATCAAACAGTAACCAGAGATAGTTACAATACATTACAAAAATAGTTCATCTGTTAAAAATGATAAGCACACTGATAGAGCCAATTGGGATTCTAGGAAAAGTTCATAACCAAATCATCATTTTTAATTATGTGCATTGAGATATAGGAAGTTGAATTGCCTTTCTTTCTCTTAGAAATGAAGGAGTCAACTCACTATTTATAGTATAAAGAATAGAAAGTACAGCAGAAGTAGTCTCAGATCATATGGTCTGAACTTCCTGGAGTATGCTAAGTCAACTTTCAAGTGTGAGGCTAAAGAGCTTATATTAAAACGAGAGATGCCTGGCAGGGGGCAGAGGGTAGGTTGCTGCTGGAGCAACCTCTTCTTAGCTTGAAACAGCTTAGGTAGCTACAGTAAAGACTGTCCAATATAAGATCATTTGGCATTTTACAGTTGAGCATATAGAAATATTTAACTATTTGGGGTTCTGAATCTATTTCAGAGAAATAGTGAGAAGAAAAGTTATGATTGTTTTATCCTTAGAGAAACTGAAATTAAGTAAAAGTTACCTCCTGATGCTTTAGGACAAATAATGAGATGTGTTAGCAGAGGTTGAATCCAAGGTGTTGCAAAGGCAGCTGTAGCGTGGCTCCTTTGCTGCTGTGCATGGTTATGTGAGAGAAAGCTAGCTGCCTAGCAGGCAAAAGGTTATGTGAACATGTTGGGTCATTATTTTCATGCCTAGGTGGTAAGAGAAGAGTTGGTATGAACTCTTTGAAGGCCATGGAAGGATCATGAAGGTTTATGTCATGGTATTTAATAAGGAAGACCAGAGTTCTTAGCTTCTGCCTGGCTAACACCCCAGTGATAGGCAGGAGCCAGTGCTTGGTAGAGATCAAAGATGACACAGGAAAGACCTCTGTGTTATTCCTTTGTGGTACTTGTGATGGTTAATCTTCATTGTCAGCTTGACTAGGTTTAGAATGAACTAGGAGATTTGGGGACATCTCTGGGTCTATCTGAGGGCGTTTCTAGAGAGGATCAACTAAAGTAAGTAAGACCCATCTTGAAGTGAGGCACACCATCCCATAGACTGGGGGCTGGACAGAATAAAGTGGGGGAGGAGAGTGCATGCCCATCTCTGTTTCCTGACCTATCATGATGTGAACTACTCTGCTCTTCCATGCCTTCTTAATACATGGGGTGAGTTGTCTGAAACCATGAGCCAAATTACACCCTCTTTCCCTAAACTGTTTCTGCCAGACATTTTGGTCATAGTGACCAAAAGTAACTAATATAGTATTGTTTCAAGTCAGCCAGAGATTAGAGCTAAATGGCTTAAATGCACCACGGGGGTTGAATCTATCTAACTGTCTGAGCATTTAATTAGAAAGATTGTATCTACAGAGCTTTGCAGAGTTTTGATTACATAGAACATAGCATCCTTGATTCCAAAGATTCTCAAGTCACGCTGCCTTTTCTCCTGCCCTGCTTCCCTCAACACACAACATTACAGAGGACTGAAGGGTGGCAGCTAGAGTTGGAAATATTCTGCTTTAAGTTGTACATTGCCCTGATTTATCAGAGATGAGGAAGATACTCCACTGAACACCTCAGCACAACTTGCCCCTCATTCTCTCTCCAGAGATACCTTCCAGAAAGAATCTCCAGAGAAAAAGCAAGTCATTCATTCAACTGGGGTTTATGGAAGATACTCTTATGCTGGGAAGAACAGAAACACGTACATGCTCTGATGTGAAGGCGATGAGCCTGGGAACGGCAGCCATTCCTTTTTCCTTGACTTCTGGAAACATCTTGTAGCGTGCAATAAGCATGGCGTACATGTTGGAAATGGCGCCCCCTGCAGGGCACAGAAGCAGTTCCTTTTTCTATTCATAATCAACATCATTTCTCATACAAGCAACAGTGTGTATTTCCGCTGACCTAGAACACCATTTTTTTTTTTTTTTGGCTTTTTTGAGACAGGGTCTCCCTGTAGCCCCAGCTGACCTGGAACTCACTATGTAGACCAAGCTGGCCACGAACTCACAGAGATCTGCCTGCCCCTGCCGCCTGAGCACTGGGATTAAAGGTGTGTGCCATCACACCTGGCTAGAACACCATTTCTTCAACTGTGACTCATAGCCCAATATGGGGTCACATAATCAAATGTGGGGATTTGCAAAAAATTGGTAACAATAAAATTTTTCAACACACAACAAACAATAATTAATTAAAAATCAAACACATAATGATTCTGAACTGTTTCAAATGTCTGTGAGGCATCATGCAACTTTACTGCAGCTTAGCTGTGAACACACAGCATTCTCAGTGCCCACCACATCCTGCCACAGGATACAATGAACGCCGCCTGAAATACCTCAGTTCAGGTTCAGGATTGTCGTGTGCTGTGAAATGTCATGTTTTTACTCTACATCCAAAATCTTCTTCTCTTGTGGAAACATAACGTTTTAATTACAGAAAACAGACAATATTTCTCTGATGTTATTTCTTAGCTGGTAAGCTTCAAATTGATGTATCTGGATTATATTGTGTCAGAATGTTTGATTTTTAAAGACTGCTGTTTGAGTTGCACACATAAGTTTCATAAATAATTCATTGCTGAGTTTTGGTTTAGGATTAGGACAGAATTTTCAGCATTTTTGAAATGGCTGTAAATACATTTCTGCCATTTTTATATCATGTATTTGTGCAATGTGGCATTCTTAGCATTGAGAATTATAAAATCAATATACGGAACAGCTCTAAAAAATGGTGAAGCTTTTATATCCTGCAGAATCAAGCATTCAGCCAAGACTTAATTCTTTATGTAAAATTAAGCAAATGGGTTTATCTCATTAGCACACAAATTTACTTTTGTCTTTAAGTGGTAATGTTACATAAACATCAAAGAATTTTCATTTTCAAGATTTATTATCAGTAAATCTTTACTTTGTATATTTATTTTCTATGTCTAGATACCCAGGTCATATAAAAAGTTCTTTAGCAGCCAGACACAGTGTCTCCTGCCTTTAGCCCCAGGGCTGGGGAAGCAGAGGCAGGGGGATCTCTGTGAGATTGAGGCCAGCCTGAGCTATATAGTAAGTTCCAGGCCAGCTGGGGTGACAGAGAGGTCCTGTCTCAATCAACCAAAAAACAAACAAACAAAAAAAGAAAAATATTTCTCAGATAGGCAGGGGTCATGGGAGTGTAAAACGCTGAAGCAGCCCTCATCTACAGCTGGACACAGAATGAAACCTCCTAGCTGTCCTTGAACTGCATCCCCAGATTCCAAGGTACAAGCCAAGAGGGTTCAGAAAAGTACACTGGGCTCGACTCCTGGAAACCCACCTTGCCAACCCCACTAAGGAGAACCGTTTATTTAGCTCTTGCTAGGAGCTCTTTAAAAGGTCTTGTTATATAGCCCAGGTTAGTTTTCAATTCGTGTTCCTCTTGTCTCAGCACCCCAAAGGCTGGATTACATGTGTGTACTGCTATGCCTAGATTTTAGAGAAGATAATTTTTTTTTTCTTTCCTTCCTCCTTAGTTTGTTGAGGTAGCCAATCTGTATTAGTGTGTAAAATCCTGGGGTTATTCTGGCAGTAAATAGTTGTTTCATTTCCTGCAATGCCTTTTGCTTGTATTGAGACAAATAAATTACTGCTGTTAATGGTGCAGCCTGTTAATGGTTTTTTACAGAGTGCAAGAACATCCATAACTTCTTACCAATATTTTCTCTCTTTATTCCTCAAAACAGTTCTTCCCTCACAAAGGTATCCTTGAGATACATTTACATTCATTAACACAATGTTACTTCATGATTTCAGGTCCATATGGAATTATTTTTCCTGTTTTGCCTTAAGACTGTCAAGGATTTTATATGATAAAATTTTAATCTCTAAGTAGGGTCTCACTTGACAAGCAAAGAAAATTGAGCTTTCCTTGGAGTTGTTGAACAGTTTAGGATTTTTGCTATCTAGAAAAAAGATGTGTTATGAATGCACATGAGTTTGCTGGCATAGAGGACATGAGACAGAGTGAAGATATTATCTTCCACCACCCCAACAAAGACACTCTTGAGCCCATTATGTGGATGCTTTGAGCTGTCTGGTGATTGAGGAACAGGAAGGCTCTGCCAAGGTAAAGGACCCAATGCACGGCTATGTCCTTTGCATTTGAGTCCTGGACTCTGACTCAGGTAGACCACCTGGCACAGAGCAGGCATCACTCAGATCCTGGAATCTCAACAGTCAGAATGAGGGCAGTTCCTACCATTTTAGACCCCAGAGATCCAGGACAAACAGAAACCAGGTCAAGTCTGTTCTGATCAGTTAGTTACCCAGTCAAAAAGTCTTGACTGTAAGATGTTAGACTTGAAGGAAAGCTTTTAAGAAAAGCTTCACTATAGCTCAACATTTCTTAGGCTTGGTACTTTTTGACAACTTGGTCTATAGAATTCCTCATGCCAGGGATGTCTTGGGCTTTGTAAGGTGTTTAGACCCTGGCTTCCAGTTGCTGCAGCAGTATCCCTCCCTGTTTATGGTAATCCAAAGTATTCACAGACATTAGTGACTGTTCCTTGAGTAGTAGAGAACAGCAGCTTTCATTGTATTTCCCAGAGCCAGAGGGGAGGCAGAGAAAAGAAGGGGAAAATATGCACAAAGAAAGTGCTCTTCAGGTCTAGTGATTCTAGAAGCTTCCAGGCTGACCTCCTGCTTCTCATTTTGCAGGTCAGTCATCCTCCAGCATAGGGAGGGAAGTGGGGTCAGCCCTAAGTCCATACAGAGCCTAGGGGAATTGCCAACGAGGATTCTTTTGCAGGGTATGTGTTTTCTGGGTTCTAAAACCAGGCAGTAATCAGGCCTGGACCCTAGTTAAACTAGTCAGAGTTTCATAGCCAGCAGAGGCAGAGATTTTCTTCCTACTTTGGGGAACCATTAAAGTAGAAACCAGGGTACTCTTGGTACATCTCAGGGACAGTTCAGCACTACAGCCAACCCTATAAGGGAAGAAGGAATGAGGTAGAAATTATGCTGATCTTCCAACCTTTCTTTATGAAAAACACTCCCTAAGCATCAATTTCAGGCAACAAAGACAAAGTTTAAAACTCAGCATCAAAGGAAACTAAGTACTAATTCCCCAGTAAATGCAAGAATTTATCACTAGTGTTCAATGACTTTTTTAAAAGACCAATTTTTCTTTTCATTTAACCAACGCTTTCCTCTTTAGCATCTGAGGAATGTGTTATATATACAGAAACATAAAACAAAATAGCAGATGAGAGCTGGTAGCCAAACACACTTAGGTCTTGGCCTTGAGTATGTTGCCTGTTCATTGCTTCCTCTTCACACTTTGTCTTTCTTTTCTCCCCTCTGTCTTTGCATATTTGCTCAAGAAAGATCAGACCTTGGTCTTGCTGCGCCTGACACAACCGCAGATGTGGCTCTGGTCTTTCCTGTCTGAACCACCCACCTCAGTGTACTGAGGACTGGCTTCCTGTCATTGTTTAGGTGCTAGTCTGAATGCCAGGCTTCTTTTCCATGGGTCAGTGACTCTCCATTGCCTTCCTAACTTCTATTACATCTCTGAATCAAGTCAAGGTCACAACCATGAGTCAAGGACACAGCATTTTGTTTCAAGTTGATTCTCTAGGCTGAGAGAGGTGAAATAATGGAGCTTAAGATGCAGTGACTAGCAAGAGAGGCAAAGAGGGAAACATTGGATGGCACGATGAGGAAAAGGAAGAAAGAAAAAAATCTCTTGAAGAAATCATCACTCTTTTTTTAACTCTAAGGAATTATCTCCTGGGCATTCTTTCACCTCCTTGAAATTAGTATAAATTGGCTTCTCTGGTTATTATTTTAGAGACTAGAAAAATGCATGAACTCCACTGAGGAGACACACCCTGTTATCCATCTTCAAACAGAGAATGTTTGACTAAATAACTATCTTGTTCATTTCTCTAATTCTAGGAAATACATCCAGAGTGAACTTTAGTATTCAGGATCATTATTCTTTTGTCCAGCATTATCCTCACATCCCATATGTAGGGTCACAGCAGAACATCATGCCTGCTTATACTGTGTTGAACACAAATAACATGTTTGAACATAGGATCAGCTAGCTCGAAGTTATGTTCAATGGACTTAGGCACACTCATTCTTTTGATAAACACACAGACTAGGTAACTGAATCATAAAAACAGAATAGATGTCTAATTTCCTTAAGTTCATAATAAGGCATATGAGATGAACAAAAGAGAAAAACTGAAATATATATACCAGGAGAAAATATCCCATCTCCAGAGCCCCCTGGCCAGCCAACGATCTCTCTCATTTTCTTTAATGTGACATATTCCAAAAGCACAAATACTGGAGCAATCTCATAGGTGAACCTGAAAAGTGAAAATGGTCATATTTCATGTATGTAACTCAAAGAAATTACAATAGCTACAGAATTTCATCATTGTTAAAGACTTACATTCATAAATATTAAAATCATCACATTAAATAGAGAGGAAATTATTTCCAAAAGCTCTTCCAAATATTTTACTCACTTTTGGTCAAGAGCTTCAATTTTTGGCTAAATATGCAAGGATAGTTTGTCATGTTGAATAAAGAGCATTGTACAGTGGCACTATGTAAAATGTCTGGGTTCTGTTTCTCTTTTAAATACATCATTCAAAATCAAAATGCCAAAACGTCTCTTTGTGTTTTTAAATTTTGTATAGTTTGATAAAATTAAAGATATCTCAGGACTATTTTTTAAAATTAATCCATAGAGAATACTCATACACTTTTAAAGCTTTAGAGAACATGTAATGCAAAGAGATTTTCACACAAGAGTTAAAGACTGTGGACTCTCCCTAATAATTATCTGAGTACACAAAAACCTGTAGAGACACTTACATGTTAGTGTTTGCTGTTGATGTCAGCCAGTCTGCTGCCAATCCAACCATATCCAGTCCAGTGGAGAGTTGATTAAAATATCTGGGATGCCCTGAATAAAATGGAAACCAGTGAAAATAAATGTCTCCCAAATACATGATGTTTATAGCTAAAGAACCTTAAAAATCCTTCAGTAACAGGAAATGCATATTCAGAAACTTAATATGCAAATGCACGTGAAAACACGCATGTGCACACAATATTCTCAAGCAACCTTGTCTCTAACTACAGAGTCTATTTGGGGTTTAGTATTCCTTCAAGCATATTCTGAAAATCTCTTCTTAAATATGTCCTATAAAAATAATGTGTAGCTTGGAATGCACAGACTGAGTTATTTCCTGCTACAGTTTCAATATATTTGCAAACTAAAATGTTGTGGTAATCCAAGCCATTCAAAGACAGGTTACTGCTCATTTGCATTGATACTCCTAAAATTCCCTTTCATTTCACTGCTCTGAGAATCATCCAGACCATGACACCCTTCAGGCATGCCAGCATTCATAATGATACTAGTGACAAATGGCTGAGGATTACAAAAGATAGAGAAAAACCCAGAAAATAGGACACTCTGCCAAGTGATTTGCCCTGGATTCAAAAGACATGGACAAAGCTAATTCTTGACAATTCTTCTCTTGTCTGGATATTTGATTATAATCAACAGAGCCCTTCATAGTTTGAATTTAAAATAAAGCTGGGTATAGTCAACATCACTGTCTTGTCAACAAGATACGTGATGATATATTCAATAGACAGACTGACCTGTTAGCAAGTCTTATATAATTAACTTCTGAGTTTCTCTAAAATTCTGTAAATGGATTGGCATGTACATACTCCTGAGGCTATTATTTAAAATGTGATTATAAATATCTCATTAGGATTCTGCATTCTCATCTTGTTCTGTAAAAGTCTATTTATAAATCCATGCTTTGTTAAGCAAGAAAAATTTTAGAAGAGGAATACTTATGGACATAGCATCTGATAAAAAGGTCCTGTCACTTGCTGGACATCTGTCTGATCCCTGATAGTCTCTCATTCCACGCATGGACAGAACAAGATAAAGGAAGGCAATAGGGAAAGCACACAGCTTATCTTCTGGACTGGAGTGCTCTCTTATCAGCCCCAGGCATGTGGCCAGAGAGTCTGACACTAGGAAAAGATAGGTGCTGGGAAGGAATACATTTTAGAGAGACTGGTATTTGTGCACCTCTAGCTCATTCTTGGGTCTTGTTTTACCTCCATTATAGGTTATAGCCTCAGACCTTGACCTTCCTTTTTTTTTTTTTTTTTTTTGTCTTCTCCAGGCCCTCTGATTCTGACCTCATCAGTTTACTCATTGAGGAAAGGTGGAAAGTCCCCTGGATGCAGCAGCTGCTGCCGATGTCTGCAGCAAGACCCCCTCCCCCCACCTCTCTGCCTCATTGACTCCTTGGAGCTCACAGCTGACACCACAATCCACTTCTCTCTCCAGATGCTGCCTCTTCCCTCCTCCATCCCCAAACCATTTTATTTTGAGTGAAGAAATTAATAAAGATTAACAACACACGCATTTCTAGATGAACCTGGTAGCTATTGCCACACAGAATTTAACTCTGGAAACTTTGGCACAAAAATTGCATAAAGCTGGGGGATTCTAAGGTGTGTGAGAGACATCTTTCTGGACATCAGAACTCCAACACTTCAGGTGAACTGAACATGAGTTTGATGCTTTGGTTGCAGGGATATCTTCCCTCTAAATAATGTTTTGACCTTGATCTGCAGTTTCATCTGACTTTCTCCTGCACCGCAGCTTTCATTTACTGATAATGATGTGAAAGTACATAGGGAGATGGTTTGACAGGTCAGAGCAGCATGTCCCTTGGGGTTCCAGCAGAAATATCCCGCTGATTACATTTGTTCTGTTCCTGTGGCCTCCTACATGCTGTCTCCAATGGGTTCCCACTACATCCATCCAGGGCTGTGTGAGTGTGAAAAGATGCCTCTAAGTCTGTCAGCAGTTCCCAGTGCTAAGTAGGCATCCTGACGCCCCAGCCCATGTGAGGCGAACTCAGGAGACCATCTACAGCCTGTGCAGAGCCACGGGACTTGGAGTTTGAGGCGGTTGAGATTAGGGCTCTGCTTCGGGCGCTGGACAGCTCCTGCACAGCTTTGCAAATGAGCCCAGAAGGATGTGCAGGCTGCAAACCGCTAGACTTGGGGCTTACAGTCAACTGGGGAGGAGCCAAAAGCCTCTAATTTTTTTTTTTTTTTTTTTTTTTTTTGCGTGTGTGTGTGTGTGTGTACTGACAACCTCCATAAGGATGGCTCATTTATTGACTTCAAATTCCTTTGTCTAATAGTTCCCATGAAGATAAAAATCTCCATTAACATTACTCCACTTCTTCCAGGCACCATCACCAGGTAAGAACCCCTGATAGCACTATTCTAGAATCCTACCATTTGCATAAGTTACTAGTTCTAGTACTTCCTTGTAAGTAATTTGATCAACACATGAAGTTTTCATTTTAAAATCTTCCTCAATGCCCTTCAGTTCTCTCTAAACTTGAAGTTCAAATGGACTTTCATAAGAAAACAAGTGACAAACATTTTATAAAATGATCTCCCAAGGATCATAAGAATACTGGATCATGACAGAGAGGTTGATTGCTTTGATAGACTCTCAATGGTATTAGCTGACAAATATGATAGTTACAGCATAAAGATCTATAAACGTGACAGTTGAAGGGAGAAGCTGCCTGCTTTTAATTTTTTGAAATGCTATTTGGGGAGAAGTGAACAGAAGACTAAACAAGATATGAATAATACTGAGCTATTCACCTTAATCCATTGAATTTTTATCTTAACTGTAGATAAAATGCACCAGAGCAACAGTTAACAGTTTCACAAGCATTATGGCAAAAATCTAAGAATTGAATCAATACATTTCCCTCTCCCCTCCTCCTGTTGATAGACAGAACTATTTCTTTCATTGACTGGCAAGTCTTGTTATCTTATCTCTAAGTTACATTTCACATGTCACCATCTTTTAAGGATGAAATGTAAAAAAAAAATGCATTCTTTTAAATTTGATATAAACATCAGAAAGCAATTTCTCATCAGCATATTTAAGTATCAGATATGGGGGAATGTGCCAAACAAAACAATGAGATAAAAGCATTGCTCAAGTTTGCATCTACAGATACAGGGGACAAAATGGGTGCAGGAGGAATTTTTTTTTAGTGCCTGGCATGTACATCCTGTGGAGTCTTCAGGAATTCTGACTAATGACATCTAATAAACCTTCAAAAATCATACTCCATGAAAATCAACAAGTTAGACCCCTTTTCTATCTGCTTTAAGTCTGTAGTCTCATAAAGTGGATTATAATTACACAATAAATTAATTTTCCAAGGTTTCTTCTACGTATGTCTTTCCCTTCTGATGATATAAAGAATGTGCAGGGAAAAAAAGGTTAAATTTTTTCATAGCCAACATTCTTAAAAATATTTGTTATACTAACAGTGATAATTCATTTATAAAATTGCAGCATAAAATACATTTGTATAGAAGCCAATGCTTGCTCGATATTTCACATTTATTATTTGCTATTAAGTATTTTAAATTCTCTAAATCACTGTGGATCTGTAAGGTTTCCCTCTCCTTCAGAAATTCATTCATATTTATTCTATTGCTTTAATCTATGTCATTATGTATCAAGATGATTAGAGATAATGTAGAAAAAAGCAGGTTACTTAGGACCTGGGTACACGAATGGCTGATTTTGTATAGACACACGAAAAGCTTGGAATGCACTCCAATGACTGTTACACCTGGAGCTATAATATTTTGAAATCATTTTTTAAAGGGTACCGTGGAAAACCCAATAGACCATAAAATACATTTTGAAAAATGTGCCCCTGCGAGTATCACCACACTTCCTCTTCCCCTTTCTTATTTTCATGCACAAAGCTGTGAAGGACTTATGTCCTTATGTAATATGGCTGGCTTGCTGAGCTAGACTGTACTGTGATCTATGTGCATGCATATGTGTGTATATATGTGCAAGCTCTTCTTTCAAAACAGGAGAATTAGAATTAAAATGCAAAGTTCAGTTATTTGAAACAACGCCAAAAGAGTATCCCTCCAGCCCGCCTGAGCAGTTCTATGCCAAGGAAATTGCCGGCATGCTACAACTCAGGCTTGCTGGATCACATCTTTTCAGCTTTCGTTTCTACGTTCCCTTTCTTTCTCCATTTTGGGCCGCTGCTACTGGTCTCTGCTGACAAATGGTTGCGTCTACTCCTCTGATTAATTTCCTTGATCACACACATGAAATGTAAAGCCTGGCGATTTATATCATGATGTTTCAGATACTATCAACACACGATGTCTACGAGGTGCTTTTGAATCATTCTAACAATAAGTCTAATAGCAATGTCTATTTTTAAATAATAACTTCACAATTTTTAAAATATTACAACTCAACAGAACAGAAAACATTTTGTAGAAAAAAATCGTAAAGGAAAAAAACTTTATTGTTGCTGGTTGGACAATACCTGTTTTAATTGCATATTTTAGAGTTGTTTGGCAATTCGTCAAAATTTCCTCCAAATTTTGTGGTTGGTCTGCCAATTCCCAATTATACTCTTGAAGAAGCTCGTTAGGATAATGGAAATCAATCACTTTAGTTGTTCTATCGAAACTTTTCACCACATACTGAAGCAAAATGTTCATAACTTCTTGTAGGAATGCTAGAGTGTGTCTTTCTCCATCACAGGCGGGCAGCAGGTCTGAAGAATGGATTGGAAAGGACAAATTCAGATTTCACTATGCAAATATCAGGCAATTATCGATGGGTAATTTCTCTTTGAACTGGTTTTACTTTGCCTACAATGAAAGTACTGGGAGGCTGAGGCTAGAAGATTGCTGAGTTCCACGCCAGGTTGGGTGAAAGGGCGGGAAGACCGTGCCTCAGACAGACAGGCCAACAAACAAAGCCTTTGCAAACAGCTAGGGAAACTGACTTTTGCTCCTTCCGGAATTAATTCTTGCGTTTCTCTTCCTAACTTGCTACCAGGGGCTTTTCTTTGCTTCCTTCTTTTTCAGAAAGAATGTCTCAGCTCATCTCTCTCACAGGCGTTTGTCCTAAATGTTCTTTTGAGTGAATGGTCTTAAATGTTTGTGAAATACTTCACAAGAGAAATGTTTCAAAAATGCTTTCCGGCAAACCAGAAAAGTGATTCATACGAAGTTATGATCTTTGGTTTTTGATGGCCAGATGTTTCCAAAGTTGGCGTGTGGTTGTGTGTTTGTGTAGGGGAGGTTGTGGTGTGATTGTGTGTGTGTGCGCGCGCGCGTGCGTGCTTTTGGGGACACTGGGAACTTATGCACCGGGAGGTAAAATTCAACACTTGAAGTGCACGGCAATAGAACCATTCCTCGGTAAAAGCGCTGTTACAAATTACTCGCGATCGAATCTAACCACCTACAATATCTCGGCAATTCTGAATTCCTTGGCTGGACATCAGGAAACCTGTTCCACCCAGAGGCCAGGGCAATCCAAACAAGCAGGCAGCCGAGGCGCACGACTGCCCGTGCCGCCCGCGACTCTCCCTGCAGTGCTGGCGCGGGATGCTGCCGCCCGGGACTGCACTTTGAGAATCACCAGGCCGAGGGGCCCAGCTTTCCTCCAGGTCTGCAGAAGGTTCTCATAGGGGCCACCTCTGCCAGGCCCCGGGTCAGGTGTGGGCGGGACAGAGCCGGGTAAGGGCCCAGCGCCTTTACCTGTTGCGTGCAAAAACGCATAGTTGACGTCCGGCTTGGGGCAACTGCAGGGCTTCTGGTCGCAGGTGCAGGCGACCTTTCGGGTGGCGGCCCGAGGGGGCACAGTCCCGCCGCTCTCGGCCGGTTTCTCAGAGTCTCCATAAAGTAGGGCTGGACAACGACAGGGAACGCCGGGTCTGGGTCAGCACCGACCGTCCCAGCTCGCTCCTTGCAGCCCACCGGTAGAGGAGAGGCTGAGGCCTGGCGCGGGTGCCAGGGAATGCCCCCGACCTCGCCCACCCTCCTTCCCCCCGACCGTCACTCACCGCACAGCTTGTTTCCGATGCCGCCGGTGAACTTCTGAGCCACCTGACACCAGGCTCTGGCTGAGAAACCCAGGCGAGCGGACCGCGAAGGGGAACGAGAACAGCACAAGGAACAGGAAAAGTGAAATTTCGTTCTAAGCGACCAGCATCTATAAGCTGGGAGTCCGGGTCCCGCGCCTTGGAACTGCGCGGCCACGGGCGACTCCACATCCAGCAGGTGGGGGAAGCGAAGGGGCCGTCAGTTCACCAATTTTTGTCTCAAGAGGATGCCCGGACCACGGCTCTTGGCACTGTTCCCTAGGTGCTGATGTTTCAAGACCACCCTCACCTGCCCTAGACCCCTAGGCTGTCACTAAGCGCTCGCTCTCTTTCAGACCCAGAACTCTCTCTGTCCTTCCCATTTTGCCTTTCTCTATCTCTGCCCAGGGCCGGACATCTGGAAGCAGTGCCTCAGGTCCACGAATTTGGTGTTCTGCAGATGCCCTGTCTTTCGGGAGCTTTACTAGGCTTAGGGGTTGGAGGCCGAGACACCCTGGGCCTCTCCCCAGGGACAAAGGGCTGTGGGGCTTTGGGATTCTGGCATAGTCAAGGACTTACCCAGAGAGCAAGGCGAAGCCAAATAAGTTTCCCCGTGGCTCTGGTAGTCTTCCGCAGAGCCCTACAAGCCCCAAGCCACCCCACAAAGCTCTCCGGCTGTGGATCCCTATTGTCCTACCTGTGCCCGGGTTCTCGGGATCCCCGGAGCCATCTTCGGACCCGAAAGACCAAAAACCGGAGCCGGGAGATGCCATCGGCTCTGCTAGACTGCCGCAGGTCTCCTCCGAGTGCTGGCTGTGGGGGAGCTGCCTTCGACTTGGCCCTGCACGCGCTTGCGTGTGTGCCTGCGTGTGTGTGTGTGCGTGCGTGTGTGTGTGTGTGTGTGTGTGTGTGTGTGGGGGGGGGGGGGCGCAGCGGTGGGGGAGCTGCCTTCGACTTGGCCCTGCACGCGCTTGCGTGTGTGCCTGCGTGTGTGTGTGTGTGCGTGCGTGTGTGTGTGTGTGTGTGTGTGTGTGTGTGTGGCGGGAGGAGGGCACCGCGCGGGGACAGGCGGGACCGCGCGACGAGGGTGGGTTGTTACACAGGGAGAAGAAACCTGCGGTCTGGGTGTGCGACTCCTCGCTTGTGCAATCGAGTTAGGGAGTCGGGATGTGGCCGCGCTTGCCGCGGAGATAAAAGGGGGAAGTCGGAAGGATCTTCAGCCTGGAGATCAGAAAGTGGAAAGGGCCTTCGAGATTTTGAGGGGGAGGGAGACTGGTGGGGATGCTGACGGGTTGGCAGAGGGGAAAATGGGAAAGGGGGAGCTGGATCGTGAGGGTGCCGGGCGACGAGCACCGGTGGGTGTCGGAGTGCGGAGGAGGGAGGCGAGCTGGGGAGAGCTGGCCAGCCCAGACTAGGGGAGCGAGCTGAGTGCTGTGGCCCGGGTGCTGTCCAGCGTGCTACCACGGCCCTTAACCTCGAGACCCGGGAGGCCAGGGCAGGAGGGATGGAGAAGACCTGTTTACGCGTGCACTGATTGGCTTATTGTTTGCAGGCTGGCTCCAGTTGTGGGCCTCGGTTCGCCTTCCTCCTAACCGGTGCTAAGGTCACTGTGACCTCAAGAGCCCAGGCCACCTGGCCTTAATCAGGCGCAGCTCAAGAGCTTGGGGAAGCTACCGAAGAGGTAGGCCGAAGGGTCTTCTCACCTCCTTCGGGAAGTCTGATGCCAGGCTCCTGGGCTGCGCCGGCCCTGAGGCGCGCTAGTCCGGGTGCAGTCAAGCGCTGGGTCTCGGACCCACCGTCCAGGGTTTGACTGACCGCTGAGAAGAAAGGCTGCTGATTGAAGCAATTAAAAATTCACGCTGGAGTCTATCACTCACTGAGGACCTCCGGCAGGAAAAAAATTAATAAATAAAACGAACGGAAACTTCTTGAAAGGGATAGAGGGAGAGCAGTCAGAGCCGACCGGACTGATGGTGGGGGAGGGGATCCAGTCCTTTGGTGACCTTGGTCCAAGGAGGCGTGGAAAGGCCAGCTCTTTGCGTGACTGGAGTATGAGAGTGAGTGGGAGGGGTGCAGGAGGTTTTGAGTAAGCAACCCGGGCTTTCCGAACGCAGGAGAAAAGAAAACATCTCTCTCTTTAGGGAGATTCATACCAATGACTTTTCTCCCTTTCCCAGAAGGAATCTTTCCTGTCAGGGGGTACCAAAACCCATAAGATTCACAGCTTCTGAGGCCCAGTGAGAAATAGAACCTCTTTTTCTAATAAAGGGCTGAAAGAATCTGCCCTCCTTTCACTAAAGGCTGCTAAATACAGAAAGTTACTTCAAGGATTTGGGGCCCTCTGAGTTCACCTTGCCTTCTCTTGGCTGGAAGATCAAGTTCTCAGCCTAGATAGCTAGCTAGTAGCTCCCGGTTTGCAGCAGCTTAAGACACGCCATGGTGGGAAAAGATTGCTTTCAGCCTTCCCTGGTGCCTGCCTACCCCAAACCCTGAACAAGCTCCTGCCATTTCCTTGTGCCCACAGCCACAGCTGTTGGAGTTTTAACTAGGCACCAAAGATGCTGTCAAAGCAGAAACCCTCAAACTTTCACAGCTACCAGGGGCACTCATTTAGGTAAGCTTTCTAAGACCTCAGGAAGCTAAGCAGACACCCAAGCCTTGTGTCTCCAAGTACATCACCCTCTGGTCAGTTCTCTGCACAAAGCTTTGTCTTCTTCCCATGTTGGAGGATGCCTACTGAGGCTGCAGGATCCCAGGTGCACAGGGGGTACCACTGGAGTGTTGCAAGGCGAGATGCTGAGCTCTTCTGGTGTGAAGCAAGGGCCACGTTGCTGGAGGCAGTGATCCCGAGTTCAGGCCTCACCTTGGTCAATTTTTGGTGCTCAGGGCTGCTTAGCTTCAACTAGCAGAGGTAACAACTCCAGGAATGCAGAGAGGGATGCCTGCTGGGATCTTGCCTCAGCCTTGCAGATAGGACTCCAGAGAGTCTGGTTCTTTGTTTAAAGCCAAATCAATTTCTGCGAATAATTCTCTTCAGGCCAGCTGGCTGAGGTTGTGGAGCTTTTCTACTATGGATGAGTAGCCAAAAATACAAACACTCATAAAAACAAGGTCTGAACTCCAGGAATGCAGAGAGGGATGCCTGCTGGGATCTTGCCTCAGCCTTGCAGATAGGACTCCAGAGAGTCTGGTTCTTTGTTTAAAGCCAAATCAATTTCTGCGAATAATTCTCTTCAGGCCAGCTGGCTGAGGTTGTGGAGCTTTTCTACTATGGATGAGTAGCCAAAAATACAAACACTCATAAAAACAAGGTCTGGTACACACACACACACACACACACACACACACACGCACCCCACTTCCAAGGAAGGCCTGGATTAAAACAAGAGGAAAGTAGAAATCTCAATATCTGAATTTATCTTTTTATAGAGTGACTTAAAATGGTACTGCTTAAATGCAATTAAATCCCAAAGCACCAGAGTGTTTTTAAATCTAATGGCCATACATTATTATTATTATTATTTTACCACTCCCCACTTCAAATGCAGTGATTATATTCCTCTTTTTAAAAATCCATTCCTTCCTAGACAGCAATTTGCTTTGTAAATTCTTTCATTTCCCAAAAGAGCCCATTACTCCCCCCACCTTCCCCTTCCCCACCCCCTTGCTCCTGGTTGGCAATGACAATAGAGCAAAGGGAGGTAATAATTATAGTCATTAGTTCACAAAGAAGGCTGGGCCACCTGGGAATGGAAGGCTGCGGGTGGGGGGGAAAAAGCTTTTCTAAGGCCCTCCCTTTAATATGGGAGACTAACACCCAAAGCTCCCTCAGAGCCGAAGCCAAAGCCTCAGGGAAGGTTTCCTGGGATGACCTATTTCTTGGCTACTACTTACCCAGAAATCCCATGACAGGATGAGCTGAAGAAAGAAACCTGGTACTAGCTTCCACTGTGTGCTTTTGGTGCGTTCATTTTGAGGGACAGAGAAGGGAGGCATGGGAAGAAAGACAAAGACAAGAACAAAACAAAAACACTGAATCTCCCACCAAAGTCTATTTCCTTTTCCAGGCTTACTTAATAACCTGCAGTGGAAGGGGCTGGATGGGGTTAGAGAGAGGGTCTGTTGCTGCTCTCCAGCAATTGAAGACTCACTTGGAGGGTTCTCTGGTGCACTAGGACACTAGGAAGCCATGATTAGCAGAGCAGCACCTCTCTGCAGGCTCCTCCTATCACATTTGCCTCTTGGTGTGTGCAGAGGGTGGATGGGTTGGTTGGCGGGGAGGAGGCTGGACGACCTTATGGTACAGATACTCTAGTCTCTTCTTATGTCAACCTAGGTGCCCTGTTGAGCTGGTTTTGCTGGTGCCAGCTACAGGTCCTGGCGTTCCTAGATCTGGTTGTTTGCACAGCTGGGGTGACTTCTCTGTTCTGTCTGTTGTCAGGTCCCAAACTGGAGCTGAGCTAACTAGGGAAGAATGGGGGACAAGAGCCCACTTGGATTGGGGGTTTGGCCCTGTCACAGATGGAGGTGTCCCCTCAGCTGGGTCTTATAAAATGAGGTGGCTGTACAAGCCCATCTCTGGGGAGTTTTTGGAGCCAATTCTGGAGAGAATATTATAACTCTCAGACAAGCCGCAGAACAAATGTTATCAGCTTGCTCCTCCTATATTTTTTAGAGGACATTGATTTGGTTTCCTGGCAGCCTGAACCAAGCACTGACTTGGCCAGAACTATCTGCCCATTTCGTCCTCCTTGGAACCATTTCCCCACCTTCCTCACACTCTCTAGATGTAGACCTGGAAGGCATCTTCATGGAGGGCTTAGCCCCATCCACTGCCCTTCCATTCATCTTTTATGTGTCCAAATTCTGAAGAGAAGTTATTACATATCTGCAAATCAGGCGTCCTTAAAACCTATCAGTTCTCATGTGTGTGTGTGTGTGTGTGTGTGTGTGTGTGTGTGTCTTTGTTTTGTGCGTCCAACACGGTTTGACTGGGAAGGCTCTGTGTGTGTGTATTGTGTGTGTGCGCGTGCTGGGATTTGGAGGTTGTTTGGAGTGCATGTTCCTATGATAAATTTTAAATTAGACTCTGCTTGTTAGAGGTGGCTGGGGGTGAGGACTCCCTGGTGGAGTGTGTGTGTGTGTGTGTGTGTGTGTGTGTGTGTGCCAACACGGTTTGACTGGGAAGGCTCTGTGTGTGTGTATTGTGTGTGTGTGCGCGCGTGCTGGGATTTGGAGGTTGTTTGGAGTGCATGTTCCTATGATAAATTTTAAATTAGACTATGCTTGTTAGAGGTGGCTGGGGGTGAGGACTCCCTGGTGGAGAGAGGAGTCAGTTTAGTTCCTGCTCCAGTCCAGCTGTATATCAGAAGTAGGAGAATCACAAAGGTGACACAGCAGACCAGCCCTGCAAACTGATCTTTCCAAAATGCTTTTTTTATTTAGCAATATTAATAACCAAGGGAAGTGAAAAACTCAAGTTCCAGATGAAGTTCACTTTCAAAGTTCTTACCACTCCCACCTGCCTTTGTTCCAGTATACTCAATTCAACCAGAAGTGAGTCTTCCTCTATCCTGGGAAAGCCATCTCAAGAAAGAAAAGGTCTTTTAGGTCATCTAAAACGAGAGAGGGGCTGGCAACAGCTGAGGCATAGTAGATGCCTGGAGTCGCAAACAAGTAAAAAACACTTTGGCGGGGAGGGGTCAGGCAGGTGAGAGAGTCTGGGGGCCCAGCGTCTGGGGATCCCCAGGGGGCCTGTAGTCTCTTGATTCTGGGTTCAGAGGTTGTCCCTAGGATTTGAGGGCAAACTGAGGGGGGTGACCTGTCTCCAGTGCCTGGAGGTGCCAGGGCCAGTGGGTTCTTCGCTTTGGTTCCTGTAGTACCTCAGGGTTAGGCACTCTCTGAAGGTGAACTATGATTGCTGCACAAGGCGCCGGCGCTGGGAGGTTTTGCGCAGGAGCCTCCGGTAGTCATAGGGGTTGGTTGCCCGCCGGCTTTCCTCCTCCTCCGGGCTCTCCGCTCTGGTCCAGCACCTGCAACCCAGACCCAGGTCAGCAGTGACTGCTCTCACCACCCACCTGGAGCTTGGCAGTCCTCTTCCTGGAGTGATCCACCAACCACCTGCGTCCAAGAAAGGTACAATCAAAATGTCAGACTAATGGCCAGACGTAGCTGTGCTAAAGATCGGCAGTTTATCCAAAATTGAAACTAGAGGCTTTGTGTTCAGATGAGGGCTAAGCATCAGAAGGTGGAGATCAGAAAGGCAAACTTAGGAACAAGAATAATCCACAGGCGATAAAGACATTTATTTTAGTGCCTTAGTTTTTAGTACACTTTTATCAAACAGGAAAACCCGAGGTGCCTAAATAAATACTCACATTTTGCATTTTTAAATCATGCAAATGTTTCTTTTAAATACTGCTGTGAATCTGCCCAATCACTCTGGTAGAGATGCAGGTGCTGTTTGCCCTGTTGGCTTTTCAAAGTTGCAATGTTTCTAATGAAGCTGCTGGGTTAGCTTTCTTGTACCCACAGTGGGAGAGGGGTGTGGATAGGTGGGGGATAGATTCTCTCATTAACTTAGGACCTATGAAGCATCAGGGACAAGCATAGGTAGGTGACAGGACAAAGGTTTCTGCTTCCGTGAGCTTTAAGTCTGGTATGGGAGAGGACCACAACCAACTTTAAAATAGCAGGTGATGAGAGAAGACACTTCACAATAAGTACATGAAGGATTGTTTAAGGAGTGGCTATGCATGCTAATAAACTAGAAGACTAAGATACTCCAATACTGAGAAATCAGTGAGGAAGAAGCTCAATAAAGGAGACTAAAAGGAACAGGCAATGAAGCAAGAGGCAAACAAAAGAAGTATAAGAAGTATGTCCTGGAGGCCAATGAAGAAGTTTAAAAATTTTTTTTTTTAGACAGGGTCTCCCTGTAGCCCCAGTTATCCTGGAACTTGCTAGGTAGACAAGCCTGGTCTGATCTCATAGAGATTTTTCTGCCTCTATCTCCAGAGTGCTGGGATTAAAGATGTGCACCACCATACCCAGCTAACTGCAAGTTCTAGGCCAGTCTGGGTGTACATATTAAGTTTCAGGACAACTTGGGCTATAGAATAAGACCCCTTTTCAACCCCCTTATAAGTAAAATAAAAATGAAAAGGTATCTGAAAAAAAAAGAAAAATAAGTAAACACAGGCTTAAATGATTCCAACAGGAAGCAATGAAGACTAAGAGCTGATCATGGGATGAGGTAAAGCTAGGGTGAGTGAAGGTGTGGGTGCGAAACCCAAGGGAAGTGTCTGAAGAGAAAGTGGAGGATGATGTGGGAGGACAGTATCTGTGACAAATTATTCTTTTGTTTAATGTACATTATTGAAGGTGCACTAAGAATGCTTTTTATGATTGATGGGGCCTGTTCACATCATGTACAAAGACTGCCAGAGTATTGGATAAAGAGAACAAAGGGGAGAGAATAACACATTCCCCTCCACACTCCTGAGTGGCTGGAAAGACTTGGACTCAGCTTAAGTCTGGGCTTCTTTATCTAGGAGGTCAGGCAGGGCATCCCCAGTTGCTGAGGGGAGTGTGAGCATCAGGAGGGCTGGTTTGGTGGTAGAAACTTGTGTCTGTACTCTCCTACTCTTTTCTCAGTAAAACAGGAATGAAGATTGTCAGTGGTGAGCCAGGGCAACTAGATGGTTTGAAGGAAGTCTGAAAAGAATAGATTGTGAAAGTAAGAAAATGGATTTTTAAGGAAAAGTAGTAAAAAGGATTTTTAAGGAAAAGAAATAACTCCAAGGGCCTGTTTACAGTGCAGGGCTTTATTTGTTTTTAAATGTGATACTGGATGAAGTCTATCTCCAGCCAAATTCAGCTAGAACGTATAGGTACATATTGGATAGAGAGCTGGGTTTACTCAGCATTAGGGTTTGCAAGTTGAGTATAATTGAGAAAGAAAGGGTCATTGAGGGCAATTGCTGATGAATGATCATAATAATGAAAGGAAAACTCTGCCTATTGATGTGATGTGCCTTTATTCTAGTCTTTTCTGAACAGGGAGCTAAACAGAAACTTGGTCAAGGTCTTTCAGGCATCTTGAACTCAGTGGGTAGCTTACATGAAAATCTTACATGACATTGCGATGGGTGGCAATGCAATGGTTCTCAATGGAGCACTCTCTTTTGAGTTACTGAATTGAATTCTATTGTTGTGATTTTAGGAATATTGAGTAATGACCATCTGTTGGGTACATCACACACATGATCTCCGAATCTGAACATAGCACCGCAAGGCCTTAGATTTTTCTTATCCTCAACTCTAGTTGACTCAACTAGTAAGGAGTGCATGAGGATTCAAACTCAGGTCTGCAGGCCCATATCTTGAGCTTCCCTCTGCATTTTTTTTTTTTAGTCTTTTTTGAGACAGGGTCTCCCTGTAGCCCCAGCTGGCCTGGATTCACTATGGAGACCAGGCTGGCCTTGAACTCACAGAGATCCACCTGCCTCTGCCTCCCGAGTGCTGGGACTAATGGCTTGAGCCACCAGCCCAGCTTCCCTCCTTATCTTTGCCTCCTCTGCTGTTTCTTTCATGATTCTTCAAGTCTTGATACATGCACTCAGGATCCTCCCACTTTGTATTTCTCCTTCTAGCCTATCTACATCTGCACAGGGGCTGGAGAGATAGCTCAGTGATTAACAGCACTGACTGCTTTTGCAGAAGACCTGGGTTTAATTCCCAACACCCACATAGCAGCTAACAACCATCTGTAACTCCAGTTCCAGGGGATCCAATGTCCTGTTCTGACCTCCATGGGCATTGGATGACATGGGTACACCCACCTACATGCAGGCAAAACACTCATACACATAAAATAAAAATAATAAATAAATATAAAAAAGCTTCTGCCCAGTGAAAGAAATAGTCAAAACAGCCAGGAGACAATACATTAAAGTATAAGAAATAGTTGCAAATGATAAAACTACTAAGGGATATCCACACAAGGAACTAAACAATTATAAAAATTTAACAATAGGCTAAAAATGAGCAAAGCACTTGAAGAGTCATTTCTCAAAAGAAGACATAGAAATGGTCAAAATGTATATGCAAAAATAATCAACACAAGACTGTGAGTGAATGTTACATTCTAGGAATAAGGACCCCCATACCAACTCAGTACTACTGAAATAAGAACAAAGCTCTCAACTGTCTGACAACAGGGCTGGCCAAGTAAATTTTGCTTATACAATAAAATGAGACACAGTCTTTAAACAGGGTTAAGCAAATTTCAATGTTCAGCTATATAATGAAGCCCTTAATAGATCCTCGACTTTAATGAAGGGAAACTTTGAAATGATTATGTTAGGCTGGGAAGGGAGATGGATCGGTAGGTAAAAGCACTTGCTTTGCAAGTCTAATGACCTGAGTTCAGGTCCCCTGAACTTACTTAAAAAAGCAGATGTAGCAGCATGCATCTGCAGTCCAAGCACTCCTACAATGTTATGGTAGGTAGAGATGGGAAAACTGCCCAGGATCTCGGAGTACACAGGGCAGCAGCAAGAAACAAGAGGCCCTGCCTCCAAAAGCAAAGGTGCAGAGTGAGAACCAACTTCAAATATTGTCTTCTGACTTCCACAAGCATGCCATGGTACACATGTCCCTGCACACACACACACACACACACACACACACACACACACACACAGAAAAGAAAGTAATCACATGCTAAGCAAAGGTAGTGAGGATAAGCAGGCCTCATGGATGTTCCCACACATATAACATATTCTGAATAAGCAAATCCAGAAAGAAAATTGATTAGTGGATGGCAGGGAATAGGGGTGGTAGAATGGTGGTGTTGGGAGGTATGGGTTATTTTGGGGGTGTGTGTGATGGAAATATTCTGAAGTTAGTAATGGATGTGAAACAATGTGAATATACTAAATAGACTGAATTGACTCTTTTAAAGTAGTTAAGTGGATTTTGTCATATAAATTTTATCTTAAAATCTTTTAAAATATCTTTTACTTATTATTTTTATTTTATGTGTATGCATGTATTTCCTGCATGTATGTAAGTGCACCTATGTTGTGCAATGCCCGTGGACAGAAGAGATTGTCAGATCCCCTGGAACTGGAGTTATGGATAGTTGTTAGCTGTCATGTGGTGCTGGGATTCTAACCTGGGTCTTCTGCAAGAACAGTCAGTGTTCTTAACCACTGAGCAATCTCTCCAGCCCCTTATCTCAAAATCTTAAATTAAAAATACCATTATTAATCTCCAGGGAAGTACAAATTAAAATCATACTGCTGCATGAGCTCACACTGCGCAGGATGGGTATTACCAAAATGTCAACACTGACAAATATGGGTAAGGGTATGAAGAAAAGGGAATGCTTGCCCTGTGCTGGTGGAAATATAATTTGGTAAAACTGTGATAGAAAACAGCATGTGTGTTCCTCAAAAAATTAGAAAGAGAACTACTATTTAGTTAGTACCGTTAGTGAGATCCCTAAATCTCACTACTAGGTAAATGTCCAGAGAAAACGAAGTGAACACTCTGAAGAGACACCTGTATTCTCATGTTTATTGCAGGGTTATTCACAAAACCCAAGCTATGAAACCAAGCTATGTGTGCATCAAAGAATGAATGGATAAAAATGAAGTTTCTATACAACATGGAATAGTGCTCAGCTTACAAAAGAAGGGAAATTCCCATTTGTGGCAATATAGACAAAACCGGAAGACATTATGGTAAATGAAATATAAATGGAGCTTCCCAGGATCTCACTTGAGTTTAAAAATGTCAAACTCATAGAAGCAAAATGCAGAATGCTGCTTATCAAGGCTTCAAGACAGGGGATTAGGGACATACTGATTAAAGGACAGAACATTTCATTCAGTAGTAGTATTTTTAAGAGCTCTACTTAAGTAATATAGTGAGTATAATTCATAGCAATAAATTGTTTGAAATTTACATTAAAAGTAGATTTTAGTTATGTTAATTAGTTCAATTTACCTATTCACAATGTATGCATACTTCAAAACATTTTCTAAAAGGTGCATCATAAAGGTGCATCATTTTATTTATGAATTTAAAAAGTCCACGAGGTTCTGTCCATTACCCCTGGTGTATCTTACCCATAGGCCTTACTCATAGCTAGGGTAATGAACAGTTTATGTCTTGTGAGTATCGGTATATGCATTTATACATAAGGATATTTTTTCTGCAACATTTCTTCTCAAATTTTTCTAATTGTTTCAAAAAAATTTTTTTAAGAACTACTCAATTGATGAGTGGATAATGAAAATGTGGTTCATTTATACAATGGAGTTTTACTCAGCAGTAAAGAAAGATGAAATGAAATTTGCAGGAGAATGGATGGAACTAGAAACTGTTATACTAAGTGAAGTAACACAGACTCAGAAAAAAAAGCATCATATGTGCTCTCTCATATGTGGATCCTAGAACCAAACCCTGATAAGTGAGTATGTATCCAGACATAACTACAGGAACCAGGATAATGGAAAGGAAACAGGGAGGTAAAGGAAAAGAAAGAACCTGAAAGAGAAGAATAGTAGGAAACAGGCCTTAATAAGGGAGATATGGATAAAAATTGGGTTGGTTTAAGGGAGGGGGGAGGGAAGGGTATACAAGGAACCTAGGGGATAAAGGGAAAGAAGGAGCTCAAGAGAGGTAGGACCATAGGAGAAGGGTATTATTAAGGGAGAAAGGGGGAAATGGGGGCACCTTAAGTGGGAAAACCATGATGGAGGGGTTAGACAATGTGAGAGATAAATAATGCCTAGCTAGTTTTAAAAACCAGAGGGAACTATATTACTCTAACAACCTACTCACAAATTATATATAGCAGATCAAGAAATATATGCCTAGGTAAGGTTTACCTGAGAAAAATTGGTCTTGCCCAAGATTTATCTAAATAGACACACAGTATTTAAAAGTACCAGACTGATGGAAATAACCTTCTTGGATGTTTAACAGACATACTTTGAGGCTTATATTAATTTGGTCAGATGGACATAAAGGACAGTTGCCCTCCTAGGTCGACTACTTCCAGGGGACTATGGGCATCTCTCCAAATGTCCTGTAATTGTGGAGGGTCACCTGTCCTCTTGATCAAGGAGGCAGAGGAGACCCCACCAGATGGACTTGAACCAGTGTCCAGTCTACAAAGAGAAGGGTCAACACAGAGGAATTATTTCCTCCATGCTTCCAAGGGAAGCCAACCATGGTTGAGCAGGACCTGTGACTTATCTTCACATAGGCGGAATTTGTAAAAGGAGCCAAGGGCTTCTCCAAAGAACATGTTACCCCTGAGGAACAGATCCTCAAACATACTTAAGTGTAAAAATAAATTGGTTTATCTGGGCCAACTGTATGGCCTTAAACACCCAAAAGGAAAGTATAACCAATGATT